TTTAAGTTACTTCGGTGTTGCCTTCAGCAAAGGCCAGTCTTTCTCTCTAGTTTCCATCCTTGTTCTTTTAAGTGTTACCACCTAATATGCATTTGCTCAGGCTGTTGACGGAGCCGCAGCAGTGGCTGCTGTTCTCACGCTGGCTGCAGCGGCGAGCCTTTTGTTGTGTTGCTGCTGCTGCTGGCCTCACTATGTGTGTTCGTAGTGGCTTTTGCTGCTTTTACCCTCCAAGACGATCTCTGAGTACTCATCTTTAGTGGTCTATGACTCTTTTGTCACTGGCTGATTTGCTGCAGCCACCAGTAGTGCCATCACACTATATTGGCAGTGTAGAAATCCGTCTGAGTAATTTCGAAGTTATTTAGCGTTTTTCCTATTTTCGCATACCCTTGATTTGCTCCATGAACCCCCTCCTCCTCCTTCTGCGTGCCCTGTGCAAATAATGTAACTGATGGACAGTATTTCTTCTACCCCGGTTTAACTGTTCCATGTCATACTCATGAATTCGTGTGCTCCCCTATTTATTGGTACTAATTATCCCCATTTTTAACGCGTTTATCGACTTGGTTTGTCGTTGTTTCCTCTTTGTAATCCAATTGACATTCCAGGTGAGGTTTTGCGGCAATTTTCCCCGCTAACCGAATATTCAACTGTATTATGTCCTAGTAACCTGCAGCATAATTCATCTCTCTTTATGCTTTTCACATGTACTTCTTCATTAGTCGTCGATTTGTTCCTCGCCATTTTGCTGTTTTCCCCCCGTTTTTGTTCCCATTTTACTTCGTCCGATTTTCGTTTAACTCTCGCTCTCCTTCCTCTTTTGTGTCATTTAGTATTCAAAGTACTTGTGAACTTTTTGTGTTCTGTTTTAGCGCATTGACTGTACTTTCCCAAGACCTAGTCTGAAGAAGATATGTCGCACTTGGAGACGCGGCGTAGCTGTGTAGCATCAACGTGAATGCTGAGAGTGAAATGTGAAGATGCCCGACCCCACATCCAACCCACCCTTTTGGTGGCGAGCAAAACGGTGGACCCAAATTGAAAGAAACGTTTCAACAATAATAAGGGACGTTATGCCAAAGGTGTAGCAAAGTGGGGTGGCAGTCATTGTAGTAAGGCAGTTGGAAGGGGGCGGCAATCAGTCTAGTAACGCAGTTGGAGGGGGATACAGTGCAACAGAGCGAGAAAACACAGGAGTTTAGGGGTGCCTGGAAAGCAGAGGGATTACAGGGTGGTAGCTACCTTATAACGCTCGCCCATGCGACGCAGCCAAGCTCGTACGCGTGCAGTGCAGCCAGTCTATAGCGGGGCGAATCCTTAGGTAGCCCTACCTTAAGGAGTTCACCTTCACTTCGCAAAGGTAATGCACCTTTTCTCCGTCGATCGAAGATGAAATCAACCTCGTGCTGTTCAGCAGAACTGCCATACGCATCGTTCAAGGAAAGCTACTCAACGCCGGCTTCTTCAATGACCAAACTGGAGCCTCTAGGGCAGAGTCGCACAAATTTGGAGAGAGGAAAACGTCAAATAAAGAATACACCCGAGGCAGTTCCAAACAGAATGCCAATTTGACAGTATTTTACGCTGTGCGATTCCCCTTTGCACTTTTTCGGGATGTGGCCAAAGAGTGTAGCCGCCTCTGCTGCTGCCATTCTGGGCACTTCTGGAGGCAAAGTATTGAATGCTTGCTCTGCTGGGGTCAGCATTATCGACTGACAGGGCCGCTCTTTTTGCCCATTCGCATCGCTTGTTCTTTTGGTTGGCAATTCATATCATCAGCCACTCACGTATGTTGGTCGCTTATCGGAATGGAAATGCAAAGCCAGCGCATGGTATGTGATCCAGTCGAGAGCTACGCCCAGATTTTGTGCAATAGGTTTATCCCGAAATCTTCGCAATAAGCATCACCCTCCGCATGAGTCCCACCACTACACGGTAAATATTCAGCCCCTCTTTGGTGATTACAGCAAATTGGCACGTCTTGTATTCACGGCGCAGCAGCAGATCCAGCTGCTTAACAGTGGGTGGGATAATGAGTCTGTGCGACCCATGTCAAGAAGCCCTTCAGTTCTAAGCCCCAGCTTCCCACACAGGTGCCAATTACAAGCTCACAATGAATAGCGGCCTTTGGCCCTCACTGGCCATCTCAGTATCCAGATGCTTGCGTCACCACTGCGGTGCGTTTTCCACTTCTTGAACATTAAGAACGTCATGCTTTTCGCCTGCCTCAGAGTACCTTGGCTATCCATGCTGCCAGTAGTTGCAGTGGCTACCTGTCACTCCACTGGGCTATTTCTCGTTTCAACATTCATCGTTTCCTAACGTAGCTACGCTTCTAGTCACGACAGAGAGGAACATCACTTTTCTTTTGCTCTACTCGGAAAGGCTTTGGCTTTAGCTCGGGGGGAATTCGGCGGGGTTCCACCTTGGTGCTACAGCACGTGTTAGCATTTTAGCATGTCTGTTTCTGCGAGTAGAATATTCGATTTCACTAGCTCCTAGTCCAGGCCGCTCGCGAGATCTGACAGTACCCCCTGTTCCTTCGCAGCACCCTTGTTCCTGCTTAGGTGGTGTAGTGCAATCTCTACAGCACTGCCCTGTATCTGAATCTCCTGTTCAGGTTTCTCATGAGCGGAAAACGCTCTCGTTGTGTTAAGCACAGTGCATCGCCAGTTTTCCTTTCCCCTTGGACTCAAAACGCTTCGAACTAAGAAGAATGCTCATCGAGGGCAGAAATTCTCTGTCACGTGCTTTTTAAGAGGGCCGCCAAAACCAGGTCTTGCCCTTACCCAGTTTATGTGCCAACTAATTTTGGCGCCACTTCCACATCTCTGCTGTAGTCTCTCACGAGATTCCCAAGTACTCTTGCCCCTATTTCCCTTCACTCCGTGAAATCGATTGTTGCAAACTTACTTGAGGCCTTCGACAGTGCCAGCAGCAGATTAGCCCAGGCGTAGTAAGTGGTATCTTAAAGCGCTACGCATCTCTCTGAGCGAAGTTGGGTTTGTACACTGTGTTGTCCCCTTGCCGCTGATTAGCAGCGCTCTGCTGGAGAAGTGCCGAAGGGCTTGTAGTGCAACGGCTCTGGAGATTTTGCCACTTAAACCTCACCCAGTCTGGTAAGTTCGCGCCAGTATTCCACAGATTGCTCCAATGCCTCAGATAACGGCCTTCACACTGCACTAGCTCAGGCCCCCGACAGTGTTGATCCAGGCCTAATTTCGTAAAACTCTTTGCTGCTAAAAGTAGGATGATCCCCTATTGTCTAGTTTATCGAGTGCCTGTAAAGTAATTGGTAAGTTACCTGCTTTGTCGAACTTATTCGCAAAACGAAATCCTGTAAGGACGCCGCTTCCTGCTCCAACAACCCCTTGATGCACTTGGCTTGCTATTGAATCTGCTGCAGCTCTCCTAGTTAGGCTATTATTGGAAATTGCGCTTCTCTTTCTGTGTCATGATGCTATGGTGCTATCGTATGCTTTTCTTGGCCTTACATATTGAACATCCCGAAGCTGTTGAACCCTGCACGCTACTTGCCTGGTGCGCACTTGCAAATGTAAGGAGGACCAATGTATGCGATGGCAGTGGCCCCATAGTTTATAACAGCTCTTTTGGTAGCATTTTCACGCAAGTAAAATATGAAAAGCTCTTTACGCATTTATTTCGCTACACACAGCATTCCGCACCATCTTTCGTGGCAGTCGTGCCTGTGGCGCAGGAAGGGGCTATATGGCTTTACCTTAGCCGTATATACCTCTTATGAACCGTGATTAAAGTATTCCCTACCTACCAATCTGCAATTTAAGGTAGTGTACGACAAGCCAGATAACTCTAGTAGCTCTTCAACCAGAGGCATGCCACAAACTAACTCATCAAAGTTGCTTTCGCAGTAACGCGCAATTCAAGGGCACTCTTGACCTGACGAGGCATTTTGGAAGCCTTAGGCATCTTTTTGGATCCAGAGAAAACGCAGCTGTGTCTGAATGGGGGAGCAACAGGCCTTCACAGTACTACTGTGCAATCTCCAGTCATGTTGGGCATACCGGAAGAAAGGTGAAGGTTTAGATACAATTCCTAGTTAAAAACAAAATGGGCAAGCAAAGCAGGAGATATGCTTCCTGTATTGCTCTGCAAATTTCTGCCGGCTACGCTGCCAATCCCCATATCATCTGCGTGGCCCACTCGAAGGTAACGTTCCAAGTTACCAAAAGGGAAAAATTTTTGGCTTAAATAATTCTTAATTTCCCTTCAGCTTGCAGAGTTGCAGGGATGCCTCTCAAGAACTCCGTTGCGTCTGCTTCAGCTCTGGTGGTCTTGCCACTGCTCCTGCACCCGATGCCATTGCCGACTCCGCAGAGGCGTTGGACGTGCTCAGCATAGTGTAACAGTGTTCCGTTATTTGCTGATCCTGAAGAACTCTTGTTGCGGTACTAATGAACAACTTTTTAAAGGAGTTACTCGTTGCTGCATTGAGCCCAATGCAGCTACGCGTAGTAAAGTTCAGGCAATATATAGTCTCCCGGTGCACTCCTCAAGTCCCACTGGATACGTAAATTATACATTTAATTGTGTCCACAAGAAGGCCAATATCTTTCAGAATTAAAGTCACGCAGAAGTTGCAAGCACTTTCATGGCTTTATCCTGCATGAGTGATGAAATAGGACACTGATTCAAGGTATCGCTGCCTCTAGTTCATACACTGCCAAAGAGTCGCCAAGAACTTTTATATCGTTTGTACATCCGTCATATAACAACATCATATTGTTTTCAAACCCATGGGAGCACTATATTTTAGGAAAAATCAATAGCTCCAGCGTCGGGTGTGAACAGACCACGAAGAACAGAAGTGCGGACCGCAACCTCTGACAGTCCTGCTCAATAGCATGGCTACAAGCAGTGCCAGCCTGCAGTGCAAGCAAGACTAGCGGACCGCAGGCAGTTAAAAAGCTGAAAGTAATTAAGGTTCTGGTCACCACACACCGAAGACACTCTTAGGTCTGATGCATCCGCAGCCACAATCAGACTTCACGAGTGATCCGCCGTCCTCTGGCACCACTGATCAGAAGACGCGGACGACTTTGTATTCGGAACAGCGAACAGACCGGAGCACTCCCGATGGGGAACTTTTTTTCCAGCGCCTTCCCAACAGAAAACTGTTTTCACCCCCTTGGAGTCGTCTTCTCGGCGTAACATTCACGTCGCTGGCAGCGGCATACTTTCTGCTGACTTGTTTTCGCTCTGCAGAATCTGCGAAGCGTTCGGTTCCACAGATCCGGTTTCTTGGGGATCGCCGTCATAAACTCTGTGACTGGGGCAATGCTGCAGGGGATAGTGACAAAAGCGATAACAGGGCGATAAGAGCGAGTGCTGCACATTTTGGGCAGCACTTGTCAGAGGAAGGAATCGCTCAACCGCATCATAAGTTTTATACACTCGATCAGTCCACCAGATCAGGACAAGATGGGGCAAATGTTGAGTCAACAACAATTAAGAAGGCATCTGGAACCCAATCGGCGTACTGGATAGAGGAGCGCGAGCAATATGGCTTGGAGTACTGGGAAAATCGTCACCTACCTTGGCCAGTGAAAGAACGTCTAAAAGACATGTTCTCGCGAATGGTGAGGGCCTCAAAGCTATGCCGCTCGCTGCTTCCAATCTTAAAGTCCACACAACGTCTGCGTCTGGCACATGTGGTCATGCGGATCTTAGCGCTGGACTTGGGAGCCATTTCGTTAGTTAGGCTGGACATAGAGTCTTCAAGAACAAGCTTGGGTGACGCTCTCATCACTCTAGGTTTTGAGTGTCTTGGAGGCAGCGGCAACGACGCAAAGCATGATGATATGCGCAGGTCGATTCTTCAACTGATGGCGCTAGTTGATAAACTTAGACAGCCTCGGCGTATTCGTCACGAATTTAGCGCTTTGAAATACCGTAAAAAAATGGTGAGCATGATGGGTACTGCTGGCTTGGTGCTAAAGAATTGTTTGGGCGTTCTCGATGGACTGCTACAGTCGAATTACGCAGATACGCCAAAGCTGACAGAGGAAGTGCTTGAGCAGCAGCTTTCTGTTCTAGAGGCGCTTTACAACGTGCATGCCGACCATATCAGCAAGGACTACTTGCTTCGCGAGTATATCCTATGGTGCCAGGAGCAAACTGGTGAACGTGCGCTCCTTGATAACTACCTGGAAGACCTCTCGAATGTTGTGATTCCAAAATTGAACAAGTTAAAAATCCAAATAAAGGACACAATCAAGAGCGCTGGCGGCCTTCTACCACTTCAAGAGAAAAGCGCACTGCAGCATGAAAGTGCCAGCAGCATGTTCGTGGGAAGCAACCAACCTACAATGACTCATCCTGAAACGCAGCTTGAGGAGTGGGACCAACTAGGGCTGCACGAGAGCTTTGGCGAAATGTTGCAGAAATCTTTTTACTCAACAGGTGCATCAGCCAGCACATACGTGTACGGAGACGCGTCTTTGCCTTCTGATACAGATCCTTTCTGGCCACCAGCCCAGCCGCGTCACCAAGGGGCCGAACCAGTTGAGCAGGTCCCACTGCAACTCAGCAGCAGTCCTGGAGAAGAGCGGCCAGATTCGGCCTCGTCGCAATTCCTGCAGCGATTGCCTAGCTCCCCAACACCTTGGTTGCGCGCAGCAGACCAACAGTTTCAAAGCCCAGAACGCCAAATTGCTTGGGAGTCATCTTCCACAGGCAGTTCCTTCCTCCCTTTCGCTCCTCAGTATGCTGAAGCGGGGTTTTCTGTGGGCCCGATCAAGCGGCCCGCGCCCACTGGACGCTATAGTGAACGTTTTTTGGCGCCCACTGCACAGCTGCTACAACGGACTCAAGTTGAGTCATCTGCCAGGCTTCAGTTGCTAGCTGCAGGCCCTCACACAAGCGATTACAGCCTCTTCGGTCAGGGAGGTGTTCCTCCCTGGTCACCCTTTTCACTAGTGCCAGCCGCCTCTGTCGAACAACAAGCGACTGCAGGCCGTGGCTGGGTGGACGCTCAATTGCAAGACATGCGCCACCCTAATACGGAGGGCTTGGACGAATCAGAGAGCAGGCAGCGGCGTGGACGCTTGGAGTTTGGTCACCAATAAGGCATTGGGATTCTACAGCGCAGCGCTACTCCTTTTGAAACTATACTGATTTGAATTGACAAACTCGAGTGACAATGGCTTTTCTGTCCCGTTGCATAAGGATCTGGGGTCTCAAAGGGATCCTGCCACTTGAGCTGCAAGGCAACTCACTGAACAAGGATCTTATATATATCAAAATCCTTCACTTTGATGATCCAGTACTCTCCTGTGCTTCATTGTTTTCGCCAGTGGCGCTGAATTGTTTTTGTTTTCCGTTGTTGCACATTGGCCTGCTGCTTGTGTACTCAAGTTGCGTAGTGGTTAATGCAAGCTCGCCGCTTGCAGACCCCGAAGACTTCAGCTAGCGTTTCTCCCTGTTGGTTCTGTTGCGCCGACATTGTTTATGAGCAAAGTGGCTCTAAGATTACTTGTTTGGGCAATCTGAAACTCGAGTAGGACTCTCACAGTCAGGGTTCCATCGCTCAATGCCTGCTCGATATATGAGCATCCCATGAAAAGCCTGTGCTGCCCGCCAGCCGCTGAATCATGGTTCAGGGTTGCACGCGCACCCAAGTAAGCATCGTGCCTGTGTGCTGTTTTATTGGACAGCAATAGTGGAATTTTGAGGAATTCGGGAACGCATGAGATAAAATGCCATAAATGTCCATCCGGGCACTTCGCAGCGGCATGGAAGTGTTTTCAAAGCTTTAGACTCGGAATACAACTTATCTCGGCTTGATAAGGGCATGTAGTATCGTAGCTTTACTCGGTCTCATCCAGGCGTGCGGTGCCGCTGGTACTGAGAACAACGCAGAACCAAGAGCGACTAAAGAGCACATGCAGCACGTAGCGAGACACAGAAAGGTCAGCATTGTTCGTTAGGAAGATGTTTTTTTGTTTCTGACGATATTCCTTCGCGCATTGATGATGGAAAATCTGGCGGTGGAAGTGGCCGGAGGAGCAATGCGCGCGTCGGGACCATTCAGCGCTTACACATTTAGCCTCGCTCCAGGGTTTTGATGCTAATGATGATAGCGTGTCAGTTGAAGACCCGCGGTACAGTAGTTACGTGCAGTCCATCACGAGGTTAAGTTTAACGCGTCCGAACTTGTGGGACAGTAGTTGCGAGCGATCCATCCCAGGACTAAGTTTAACGGGTCCGACCTGATACACCGCCCCAGCAAACCCCCACGACAGGGAACAACTGCCTCACCATGATCTACGTCGCGCCTGCGCGTTCCACAGCCGATTTTAACTCACAGAGATGGCCCCTTCCAGTCAGGCGTTATGTGCATGTTTGTAACTTTATCTGTTGAGCGTGCTTGCCTTTAGTGCCTTGCTGCGTCAGCTTGGTGTCCAGCGCCTCTAAAACGCGTTTAAGCATCCCTCGGAATACTGTAACTGGATGAAAGTCCGCGAAATACTATCTAGTTTTGGGTGGCTGGCTGCAGATGGCGAAAAGCTTGCGGCCGTTCCAACCTCAATAGAGTTTGTTGCCCTCCACGCTGACTTGTTGAGTGCTGTGTCAGCCTCCATCCATCGACGTGCTGTATCTCTGTCTGCAATGCTACCCTAGAGCTATTTACGCCTTGCGATGCGCTATTTGTGAAGGGGAGTACTGCCCCGCAGAAGTTTTCGTTTGTGGGCACGAGGGATAGGCGACACTTGCATGCCCAGAGTCCAACGATGAATATTTCAGCTACGTGGAAAGCCGACACCAACAGCGTTTACCTGATGAAAGAAGCACTTCACTCTCAGTGGCACAGTTCCCACATGGTGCAATCATGTGCGTGCGGGCGTGTGCACGGTACTTTAAAGCGGGACTCTGACTCTCGAAGAAAACTACGGTTATTTGTCTTCCAGCACCCCTAAATCAGAAGATGGACCACTAAGGTAAGCGAGCGGACGAACACAGTGGATCAGGTTACTGAACCAGGGTGCACCATTAGCCCAGAGTGCCTTGACGGATAGGCGTGCGCTCTGGAGGAGCAACCACGTGTTGAAATGAAATTTTTTCAAGGAATCCTCCATATATATTGATAAAACCCATCAAATGTGTGCGGAAGTCAACTTGAGAGCAGTGCTGGTTTTCTTTCAGAGTGAAAATTTTGATAGTTGAAATAGTGTTGGCGCATCGATCAGGATACGAGGTCGTTAACGCTTCGTAACACTTCGCGTGGGTAAATGCCTTGCGGCTCTTAATGTGCAAGGGAGACTTTGCGTCAGAAGCTCAGAGCCTTCACTAGCTTAGTTTTGGTTTGCAAGGCTGTTCACTGTATTTCGTCAAGAGCATGTGACATGTGCTCTTCGTTGGGGCACTTGATTGAAGTCAGCGGCGGTACCGAAATTAGTCGAGAAATTCAATGTGGATTCAATACCTTCAAATTATGTCCCCAACTAAAAAGTCAAATAACTTTAAAAATTTGGATTTGAACGTACAGTTAGCGCGTTGAGTGCAACGGCGACTGCAATACAGCTATGCTTGTGGGCCAGAGGAGCCAGCAGAGCTCCGCGGACTTATTCCATTTTTTCCTGAAGAGAAAAATATTCTCATGGCTAAAAAAGTAAAGCTTCATCTTAATTCTTGAACTCCATACAAAATAGTTGGGCGGACTTCGAGCGACTACACCATCGTGACATCGTGCGTATCCCGGTCGAAGACCCGTGGATAGCATTGCTGCCCGCATTGAACAGTGCACGTACCAGAACGTACTTCATTGCCGTTGTGGCTAAAGTTTCACTTTATAACAAACTGGATGATGCCTTTGTAGAGCGAGACAACTGGAAGTCTCCTGTTTTCAGTGTTGCGAATTTTTCACAAGCAACCGAGGAAGTGAGCAAGGGCATAGCACCTTCCAGCAACAGCCGCAAGCAGTTCTAGCCTGTACTACGTTCGCAACCTGTCGACATCAGGCAAATAAAGGCCAAATTAGTGGGCACATAAAGTCTAGACGCGTGAGAGCTGTTTCCAGGACTGATGAACTCACAGTATAGGAATGATCTGTCTTCCTCACGCACCACAGATCAGACGGTGGGATCGATTTCCTTTCTACAGCGAAAAACAGAACACAGCTCGTTTGACGACAAATTTCAAATCCAGAGCCCGTCCAAAAAGAAACTGTTTTCATCCCCTTGGACTCGTCATCTCGGCGTAGCAATCACCTTCCTCGCAGCAGCGTACCTTCTACTTGTTTGTTTTCATTTCATAGAAGCTAGAAAGCTTTCGGCTCCACAAATTCGTTCCCTTGCAGACCGTCATGATAGATCATGTGATTGGGACAGTGCTGCAGACGACGGCGACGATAGGTCTAGGCAGGGAAGGGGGCAGCAGCTGTCAGAGGAAGGTTTATCTCTGTCGCAACATGAGGCTCATGGAGGGCACGAGGCTGAAGCATCAGGGCCTGGAGAAGTTGATGTTGTGGCGTCTACTGGAGAGGGGGCAACTGGGACCAGGTTGGGTTATTGGTCACAGGAACTTGCACGGTACCATGTGAGGGAATGGTCCTGCCGAAAGCTACCTGAGCCGGTACAGCGTAGCCTAGTGGATATGTTCGCGCGAATGGTGAGAGCTGCAAGGTTGTGCCAATCATTGCTGCCAATGCTAACGTCCGCACAGCGACTGCAACTGACATATCAATTGATGCGACTGATTGCACTGGATTTGGGAGCCATTTCTTTAGTGAGGGAGGACATAGAGCCTGCAAGGCAAAGCGTGGGGGACTCTCTCATTAGTTTGGGTCTTAAATGTCTTGAGATAAGCGGCGTGGACCCAACTAATGAAACACAGCGCGCATCAATTCGCCAACTGATTGGTTTAGTTGAAAAACTTAAGCAGAATCGGCCTCTTGAAGAAGATTTTGGTCCTGTCACGTACAGAATTAAAATGGCAAACGCAATGGGCACTGCTGGCGTGGTATTAAAGTACTGTTTGGGAGTTCTGGACAGACTGCACCGACGGAGCTACGGACAGCAGCCAGCGCTACCAGAAGCTGTATTTCAGCAGCAGCTCGATGTTATGAAGGCACTTTACCGTGTACATTCGGAACACCTAGCTAGAGATGCTGAAGTTTGCGCGTATATCATGAGGACCCAGGAGCAAACCGGCATACATGCGCTTTTGGATAGCCAGCATGCAGCCCTGAGCAATAGTCCAATTTTGAAATTAGTGGAAATGAAAAATAAAATAAAAGAAGCCGTACATAGCGCCGGTGGGCTCCTGAAATTTCAGCCGCCGACACCGCTACGCCCGGAAAAGCTACGGGACCACAGTGTTAGCAGCGTGTTCGCGGGAGACAGTGAACCGACAAATGTTAATCCCGAAGCACCGCATGGAATGTTGGCTCAACAAACGCTGCACAAAGGATTTGCCGAAGAGCCCGGACGAGCTTTCAACTCAGCAGCCTTTTCATCCAGCGAATACATGCACGGAGGCACGGCATTCCCTCCTCCTGCAGTTCCACAGTGGTCACCTGGCCAGCCGTCTCACCAAGGCGCCGAACCAGATGCGCAGCCTCTACCGCAACTTGAAAGCCAACCTCTAGACCATCAACCAGATTGGGTCTTGTCAAGGACTCTTGGGAACTCACCAAGCTCTTGGGTGCCTTGGCTGCACGCAGTACACCAACCGTTTCAAGGCCCAGAACACCATCATCCTCGGGAGCCTTCTTTCCCAGCGCGTTCCGTTGATCCTGTCGCTCCTCAGTTTGCTCATGGGGGATTTTCTGTGGGCCCCGTCGGGCGACCCGCACCCGCTGGAGGCGATACTGAACGTTTTTTGGCGCCCACTACACAGCTGCTACAACGGAATCAAGTTGAGTCATCTGCCAGGCTCCAGTCTCCAGCTGCAGTCCCTCAAACACGCGAGTACAGCCTCTTCGGGGAACAGGGTACTTTTCCCTGGTCACCCTTTTCACTAATGTCAGCCACATCTGTCGAACAACAAGCGACTGCAGGCCGTGGCTGGGTGGGCGCTCAATTTCAAGGCATGCATGACCCTAGTACGGATGACTTGGACGAATCAGAGAGCAGGCAGCGGCGTGGACGCTTGGAGTTTGGTCACCAATAAGGCATTGGGATTCTACAGCGCAGCGCTACTCCTTTGAGACTATACTGATTTGAATCGACAAACTCGAGTGACAATGGCTTTTCTGTCCCGTTGCATAAGGATCTGGGGTCTCAAAGGGATCCTGCCACTTGAGCTGCAAAGCAACTCATTGAACGAGAGTCTTCTGTCAAAATCCTTCAAGTTAACAATCCAATGCTCACCTGTGCTTCATTGTTTTCGCCAGTTGCGCTAAATTGTTTTCGCTTTCCGTTGTTGCTGGTGCTTGTCCAACTCACCTTGCTTCATGATTAGTCCAAGCTCACCGCTTGCAGACCCCGAAGACTCCAGCTAGCGTTTCAGTCTGTTAGTCCTGCTGCGCCGACATTGTTAAATGAGCAAAGTGACTCTATGATTACTTGTTTGGGCAGTTTGAAACTCGGGTAGGACTCTCACAGTCAGGGTTCCGTCGCTCAATGCCTGCTCGATATATGAGCATCCCATGAAAAGCTTGTGCTGCCCACCAGCCGCTGGATCATGGTTCAGGGTTGCACGCGCACCCTAATAAGCATTGTGCCTGTGTGCCGTTTTATTGGACAGCAATAGTGGAATTTTGAGGAATTCGGGAACGCATGAGATAAAATGCCATGAATGTCCATCCGGGCACTTCGCAGCGGCATGGGAGTGTTTTCAAAGCTTTAGACTCGGAATACAACTTATCTCGGCTTGATAAGGGCATGTAGTATCGTAGCTTTACTCAGTGTCTTCCAGGCGTGCAGTGCCGCTGGTACTGAGAACAACGCAGAACCAAGAGCTACTAAAGAGCACATGCAGCACGTAGCGAGACACAGAAAGGTCAGCATTGTTCGTTAGGAAGATGTTTTTTTGTTTCTGACGATATTCCTTCGCGCATTGATGATGGAAAATCTGGCGGTGGAAGTGGCCGGAGGAGCAATGCGCGCGTCGGGACCATTCAGCGCTTACACATTTAGCCTCGCTCCAGGGTTT